CGTATTTATTTTATTTATTCTATTTTGTATATCATAAGAATAACGAGTAGTTAAGTTTTTAATCTAGGATTTTGTTGGAACCCTATGTGGTGAATAAAATAAATTTATAAAAACGATTATTAGTGTTTACATGAAACGTGTAACATATGATGAATAGGGAAAGAACCATAATTGATTAGATTTCGATGCCACATTCTTATTGGTCGATTACAAGAGCAGAGGTTTATAAATTTAAGAAATCATCTCTATATTGGTCAGTTACGCATATTATTAAAAATCATGTAAGTGAATCTCTACTTTTGGGAACTTACAAGCATGGCGATATTACTATAGGTTATTTGGATTAATCTGTAATCCAGTTGTGTATAATGGATCGAACCAGAGTATCCAAATATCCTATACAACTTCACATCTACAGGCACTCATCCAAATAACAGAAAAACCGAAAAAAACGAAAAAAATATGTTATGTGGTCCCGAGTTTGTATATGTACAGATTATGTAAATAATCGATTCGATGGTAATAATGGGCGCGTAAAAATGCAATATTCATTCTTTGGGGCACGAATGCTCGAGAAATAATGTATTTGCTTACACGATGGATACATGTTTTCCTTTTTCCAAGTACTATGTTGTTTTATAGTAATGAACTTCCTATAAAATCATGTTGCTCTATCCAGCATTGAATAGGGGTGTAATAGGCCAGTAATGTTCTATTACTTGAGGATTTTTTATTTTATTTTTTCAGAATTTGGAATTTTTGTAAAGAATAGATTTTTTGCTCACCATTGAATGTATTAAATATTTTTATCCTCAGTTTTTAACAACTCCCAAACTATTAGAGGACCCTTCTTTATTTTCTTGTTAAAAAAAATATGAAACAGAGCAATAATATGAAACAGAGTTCCAGACCAATTGATATGTATTGGAAACTGAGAAAATTTCATTCTCTTTTTATATATATGGGACTTGGTAGTGATAAACTTGTGTTCCCAGTTACTAAATTCATATGCCAAGCAATTGACAAAAAAATTAGTCACAAGGTTCAAACTCAAGTATCGAACTACCGAAAAAAAAAAAAAAAAAAAAAAAGTTAACGGCAAAACCATTTAAATATCTTAAATGGCAAGGTAGTCAGACTTGAAATTAAAATCTTAATACAAAATTTAAATTTAAGTGTCGAACTACCACAAAACAATTTTATTCAAATATAGGAAAACGACATGTTTTAAATACTTAGACATAGATGACATTGGGCCAAAGATGATAAACTACAACATAAATGATTGTGGAATCGATATAACCAAGAAAATATAAACCAAGAATTTAAATCCGATACTTATCAAATTACAAAGTTGGGTCTTTAAAAATCCTCCTCCTGGTTGACGGCCTCACTCTGGCGTTTGTGGTGCCTCAAATCTCAGACGATGAATCTTGTTGTTGAAATCTCACTCTGCCCGAAGAAAAGATCTCGAGAGATGACCAATCGTCGGCCGGAAGAAAAGACGGCCGGTGAGAGATGAATAAGGTTTTCAGAACACATAGAAAGATGATAATTTTTTGTACTCGATGATTATAAGAATTTAATCGTAAAGTATGTTATTATTTTATTATAATTATTCATCTCATTAAATTTTAGTTATTAATTATTAGATAATATTTATGTTTTATATTTAAGGGTTTTAATGTAATTTTACTTACAAGGTAGGTATTGTACACTTTTTCATTGGCTTCATACTAATCTTATTATGTGGCGTAATTCTATTGGCTGGTTATGGTCCGAGAAGTACAACCCTCTCAGACCTTAAACAACCCCACAAAGGTTTCCAGTATAATAAAATATAAACTAATATATTCCCGAAAATTAAAGATTACCTCACCCTTAATTACATGATTACTATTTTTTATATTTTTTTACAAACAAAGAATATCCTAATTGTATTAGTAATCATGTGTTATCTAATTAAAGAAAATATTATCGTGAGAAGTGAGAACATATAAATATTTTTGAATGAATTTTAAATTGGATTTTATCTTATATATAAAAGGAAGATATTTTGACCTATAACCTTATATATAGCCCTAGGGACAATATTGGCATTTCACATTTTGTCAGTTTTATTTTTAATGTTACCTCCCACTACACGAATATTCCAGTATCTGACCCACTACTCAAGTCGCTTTTTTTTTATTTTTCTTTGTTTGAACAATTTTGGTAGCCTAAGTGTTTTCCAGTAACACAGGAGTCGGTTTTTCTCATTGGGTGGGTGGTTTTACTATGATATATTAACTAATACACAACTTCTTAATTCACACGATAACATCACGATCATTTTAGATGGAAGAAGCCGCTCCATCCATCGACAATATATTCTCCTTTTTTTTTCCTTCTCTCGTCTACCTCCTGTCGATAATTTCGAGCATGAAGTTTGTAGGTTACAGTTTTATTTAAGAAATGAACGATATATGAGTTTTTTCCTGGTCGATTTATTTCAGTTTCGCTGTGGTGGATGACTTTGAGGGTCCATTTTCCCTTGGGTTGTTTTGCATTCCTTAATTAGTGTTTTTGACACATTCATTCATACGAATTCTGATTATATTTAGCTTTCTACGCTTTTTTTAATGAATATTTGTTCTGCTTCTTTTATACATGTCCTGGTCATTTTTTTTCCTTTTCCCCCTCTTGGGTTGTTTTCCTCCGGAAAAACTAACTCTGCACAATCCAACTAGATAAACCGCTGGCATTTCCATCATACCCACGTTCCTAGGCTATTTAAGGGGGGAAAGCACGCACACACAAAGATGGCAGAACTTTGTTTAAGAATATGGCAAGATGAGAAGTTGCATTCAAATCACGAAAGTACTGGAGAAGCTTGCTTACTTTTGATTTTTCAAAATTATTATTTTTACTTATTTACTGATTTTAACAGCATGTGTTGTCAAGGAACTCATCGTGTCAAACTGATAGTATTCATTTATCATATATCGTTGGGATGCTGCCTTAGTCACATTCATATTCCTTCGTAATGGCTTTAAGATCAATACTATGAAAGAAAAATATCTACGTCGGTACAAGACTTAGTTGGCATTTTGACAGATTTTGGTTCAAATGAATACTCTATTTTCATCATGGTTACATGAAGAAGTTCGGTTTTTTTTTCATCGCATAATGTTGAATTTGTTGTTAAAACTGTTGTTTATTATTTTCTTTAAAATAGTTACATCTCACGTGAATTTAAACTACTTTATGTCCAAAAAGTTTGATTTTGGTAAAGATGCAGTAGTTCGATATATAATGTTTCACTTCTTCTTCATTATCATACAAGCTAGGCTTACTGTACAATTTTTTTCATAATGCTACAGTTATCATACAAGGACTTACTGTACAATTCTCAATTTTCTATTTTTCTTCGCCATTAAATTTCAATGTCCGCCGTAGATTTTGAATGACTCTCAAGCAGGTCTTTTCCACAAATTTTGATCGAGCTACTAAGAAATTTGAAACAAAATCGAGGGCAAAAGAAGTAGATTGGAAATGGGCTTTTGGTCCTAACTAAATTAATTTCATTTTTTCTTTCTCTGTTAAAACAAATTTTAGGCGATTTCGCTAAAAATATTCTTTTCTATTATGATCGCTTAATTTCATTCTGAATTGTTTGTGTCTATGCGTATAAGGTGTGGTTTTTGACTTTTGATGTATGGGTTTGCCTCAAAGAAGGCATTGATAAAAGACTTTGCTTCAATGATTTTAAAATATTATTATGTTATTATGATCAATGGATATCTTCCATCAGTCAATTTGAAACAGGTATAGATAATCTTACAATGAACTGTACAAATCATCTTACAATCTGAAATAGGTGTATATATTATAAGCTCTACTATTATGAAATGTGTTATTTGTTTCGTTAACAAAGGCTTATCAAATGTGATATTTTTACTGTAGGACGAATATATATGCTACAGTAACATGTCCCTCATGTTAGTAAATTTATAATACAAGTAAAATAAGGTAATAATACTATATTTTAAAATATCACAGCTAAATATTTTAATATTACCTAATATATGTTCTATGAAAATTTTTATCGTCATGTAGTTAAATAATTACTTTCTTTCCCTTTAAGAATGTGATCCCGTGCCCCATGGGGCACGGTTTCTAGTATATGTAAAAGTTGAATCGTAAGAAAATTTTATATAATATATGTAACTGAAATGCTAAATCACGCACGAAAGTTACCAAATCACGCTCATAACTGAAAGATTTTCTTTTTCTAAAATCTTTTCCAATACAAAAAAACCCTACCTATCCTCTACCACAAAATCAACACAAAATATTCTAAATTAATGGAATATTTTGAGAATATGAGAGAAGGTATTCTAAATTAGGTTTTTCTTTTTTCAATTATTTTTTGATTGGTTGATTATTTTCTTAAATATTAAATACTTGTTAATTAAATATTTAACTAATGTTATTAACATTTTAAAACATTAATGTAAATACTTATTAAATATTGAATAATTTGTTTTAATAATTGATTTATAAAAATAAATTAATAATTATTTAAAAATGTTTTATATGATGATTATGTCAAGACAAATGGATTTTTAATAATTTTGAGGAAATAAAGTGATGAGAGAAGTGGGAGAGAAAATGGTTAGAGAGACAAATATATTAAGATAGTGAGAGAGTTTTTATAATTTGTGTGTGTGATTCAGTAATTTTTAGTGTAGAATTTAGCATGCCGCTGTACGTAATTGTTGGCTTAACCTCACAAGAAATTATATATTTAGTATTTGGTCAAAGGCAATATTATTAGAATTTTCAATAAGTGAATGTGTAATTAGTTTACACCTAATTTTAAACTAAAGAAGGTAGGTACAGTTAATTACATCAATAAGGTCTATCATATTATACAATATATTTATACTTACCGTATACAATATTTTTTTTAATAATACTTACCATACTCATAAATGATTCGTTTCTATGTATATATATATATATTCCTCTACGAAGTGCAATATATACAAACACACAAAATGGGAAAGGTGGTATGTGTGACAGGAGCTTCTGGTTTCATAGCTTCATGGCTGGTTAAGCTTTTGCTCCACCGCGGTTACACTGTTAAGGCCACCGTTCGTAACCTCAGTTAGTCTCTCTCTCTCTCTCTCTCTCTCTCTCTCTCTCTCTCTCTCTCTCTCTCTCTCTCTCTCTCTCTCTCTCTCTCTCTCTCTCTCTCTCTCTCTCGGATAATCGATCGAAATTCGACAGGTGATCCAAGTAAGGTTGCACACTTGAAAGCACTAGAAGGAGCTAAAGAAAGACTCGAATTATTCGAAGCAAACCTACTCGAACAAGGATCATTTGATGCTGTGGTCGATGGTTGTGATGGTGTTTTTCACACAGCATCTCCTGTTATAGTTGACAACATTAATGACCCGCAGGTATATATAATATTCCTCTACCTTAATTTAATTTTCCTATTTTTCCCCAAAATATTTAATTCTATGAATTAATGTCAATTTGCATTCATTAATTATAAACGAACAATCAATAATTATATATACAGACGGAACTTATAGAACCAGCAGTGAAAGGAACAATGAATGTACTGAGTTCATGTGTGAAGAAGAAGGGTTCAATCAAACGAGTTGTGTTAACATCTTCAATTGCAGCAGTTATGTATAAAAGGGGCATAACTCAACTATTCAATACTAGCCAAACTACTACAACTACTATAATTGATGAAACTTGGTTTTCTGATCCTTCCTATTGTCAAGAAACTCAGGTTTGATCCTTAATTTCATTTGCATTTTTTCGATTTTCCATGCTCGTTATATATATATATATATATATATATATATATATATATATATATATATATATATATATATATATATATATATATATATATATATA